ATGTCAGAACATTTGAGGTTTTACGAGGCAGAGTACCTGCAGATATTTTTGTTGTTGAGGTTGTTGAAGCTGGTTGGGCTACTGCTCATCATTGTGGAAGCTGATGTGGAAGATGTCAGAACATTTGAGGTTTTACGAGGCAGAGTACCTGCAGATATTTTTGTTGTTGAGGTTGTTGAAGTTGGAGTGGTTGGTCTACTGCTAGTTGCATTGGAAGCTGATGTTGAAGACATCAAGGCTGCTGTAATTGATGGAGTTGAAGTAGTGGTACTTGCAGAAGTTCCCTTTGTGGCTCCTGCAGTTTGGCTGGTTGGGCTACTGCTAATCACTGTGGAAGTTGATGTTGAAGACATCAAGGCTTTTGTGGTTGTTGGCATTGAAGAAGTGTTACGTGCAGAAGTTTCTGTTATCGCTGCTGCAGCTGTGCTGGTTGGGCTACTCTGTGTAACTGTGGAAGCTGATGTGGAAGATGTCAGAACAATTGTTGTTTTTGGAGATGAATTCGTTCTTGCAGAGGTTTCTGTTATTGGGACTGCTGAGGTTGAACTGCTTGGGCTACTGCTTGTCATTGTGGAAGCGTTTGTTGATGATTTCAAAACTTTTGAGGTTATTGCAGGTGAAGGAGCAGTAATTGCAGAATGTTTTGTTGATGCTGCTGAAGATCTGGTTGAGGTGCTGGTGGTACTGAACAGACCTGGAAGTGCAATATTGATCCATTATTTATGGAAATACTTTCGATTCATAAATTCTCAAGTGGGATTTAAAAGGTACTGTCAAATTTATGTTAGTTTTCATTTGAACCTCATGCAGCATGGCATGGCGAGGAAATATGTAGTTTAAACCCATTTTGGTACTGGTGACAATTACTGATTGAAAGAGTTTAACTGACAATGTTGTTATGTAAAACATACAGTACCTGTGATTGCATTATAGAAGTCACTTGGACGACTGACATGTCCTTCTTCATAGACATAGTCTATGTCAACTGTTATTTGGTTATCCTGATCCCTAAAAGAACAGGTAATTTGCACATAATTCAAAAACAAAATTGTCATTTTATATTTTGAGTGAATAAACGTATATCTAAAACATTGGCACAGTGTAGGTTTTTGTTAAAAATGACACTTACGTGAATGTAGCTGTTGGATGTACCATAGGTTTAGCACCTGGTTTCTGCAGTAATGAGCTCATCTGTCGTTTGAAGATTCATGAAGAAAACCACAGAATGATTTAGATAAATACATACATGAAAGCACAATAAGTAGTGTATACTGTAGGAATACCTAAGGCTCAGTAACAAGGGAAAACCACATGGCATTTCAAACCGTAAGTTGCATATAAAATGATTAGTGTGCTCACCAATGCGTTGATGTTGCCTTGGATCCATTTATAAATGACTGTTCTGTCCCAAACATTTTGTGCCATATTCACGTTCCTGATCAGAAAAGCCAACCGAATGGAATAGGCTCTGCTAGATAATTCTGAAACAAAGTAAAAAAACAAAAAGTTAAATGAATCTTGGTTCCAAAAGTATTAATTTCACAAATTTAAATATGCTAAATCTGTTCAAGAAGTGCTAGCGACCAAAGAGAAACTTACTTTGACAATTTACATTCTGAAACCACTTCAGTTGACTCCATTGTCTGTTTTGTGAATGTAGGAAATGGTTGACCACACGAAGTACCTCTCTTTGATTAACATTAATGTTGTGTATTGTTATGAAAATAAGCTGGATGTTGATTTTTACTGATCCCACACTGAAAACATGAATGAATGGCAAGTTAATTGAAATAAATGTTAAAATAAAAATTACCAGTGTAATGTTAAAATAAAATTACTGGATTCCTAAAATTGAAGGAAAGAGCACTAAATCAAAGCCTCACAAAAATCTTACATTGTCTTTGACACCATGGATGATGAAGGGTGGGTTGCAGAGGTGGTACTTGTAGTAGTTTTTGTTGTTGTGGCTGCTGTAGTATTCTGCCAGCAAATGAATGCTGTTTTTGGGATGAAATTAATTTTTGAAAACTAAATAATTGCAGTTTTTTAGGGTTAAAAAACATTTGAAAGAAAATGAAAATCATGCAATTTCCCCTTTACAAAATATACTAATTTTTTACTTTCCAGCTAAGCTCCTCCAATAAAAAACACTTTTGAAAATAACTGCATGTCATGCCATGCCATGCCGTGCCAAGCTATGCCTACTCCTCATTTGTTTTACCTTTTATTCCTGTGCTCATGTTAATAATAAAAGATACTTTATTGATCCCCGTGGGGAAAATGTTTTTATGCCTTCCTCAACTTCCTCTTTGTAAAGTAAGCTGTCCATGAAGGGCAGCCACCTGTTGGGGCACCCAAGGAGCTGGGGGTTAAGGGCCTTGCTCAAGGACCCGCAGATGTACTGAGGTAGGATTTGAACCAGTGATCTTCTGATTACAGGCACACAAGCTTAGCCCACTAAGCCACACACTGCCCCCCAACTCAATCCACCTGCCTCTAGTTCGCCCCCTCATCAGTTTTATATATTAGGGCTTACCAGTCCTGTGAGTAATGTTGTATTTGTGCCCTGTCTTCCTCGGTTTCTCCTGTTTTTTCCCATGGAGCTCTTGTTTGTTTCTAGTTGTGGTTCATTTGAATTTAAAAAGCCCCATTTGTAATCATGTCTGCTCTTGCTTCCTTTGTTCCTACCTCGTGACAGAATAATGGGACTCCTCAAATATACCAGCAGTCTACCTCCCCACTCCAGCTTCCATACCTCCATTCACCGGACAGATCCGATACCCTGGGTGCCTCAAATGCTGGGCTCAAACTGGTTACCTGCACCATGTCAAGCAGCCCACCTTCAGGCGGGGGAGTTTATCTCCCTTTTGCATGCCTACCAGGAGTGAAGGAACAATCCAACCATCTAGAGGATCCCTGAGCTTGTAACTCTATTCTGGTCCACGGGAGAAGAGTTGGTGAGGCTCATCTCAGACACAGATCCCCGGAAGGCAAAGGAGATCCAGAATTTGCTGGTAGAAGTACATGAGTTAATCGAGCGCAAGGCCGCTCAGACTACCCCCTCGTTCGCCACCTGAAGTCCATAAGCCTGCTGTTTCTCCAGAGCCCACTACAGCCCCCCAGCTTGCCATGGATGTGCCCCTGGGCTTCCCACAGCTCAATGGAAGTGTACCTGCTAGCTTCCAGCTGCTGGTACCAGAACTCATTCTGCAGTTTCCAGTTGCCAGAAGAAAAGGTAGAGGAAGCTTTTGGCACCAAAGGCCACTGCCTCACTTTCAATGCCAGGCTTATGTGAAGGAGAGGACCGCAGCGCCCAATCCCCAGGCTTATGGCCCAGAGAAGGTTATTATGACCTGCTCACCTCCAGGTGTCCCGGCATCACCCTGACTGAATCTGGTCCTGTTCTCTGATATCCAGCTGGCATCCACCTCGCTGTCTCCTGATGTCCAGCCTGTGCCCCCCCCTCCTTATTGTCGCATAGATACCCGCCTTTCGCCACCTGAGGTCCTGTTGGCGCCCACCTCATCGCCTCCTTTCCTTGCCCAGGCACCTGCCACATCTCCTGGTGACCCAACAGCTCCCACCTCATCATCTCATGATGACCTGTAAGCTCCCACTTCATCGTCCAACTTGGACAATGCTCACCCAGAGGACATGAAGTAGAACCTTCTGAGTCTGGCCCAGAGTCCCACACTGTGAGCCCCTACCTCAGCCCCATGCTCGCACCAACCCAGTCCCAAGTCTGTGTGGTTTCTGGGACAAGCGAGTATTCAGAAGAGGGGCAGACCTTGTCTCCATCTCCAGGAGGGGAACACAAGGTCACTATCCAGGCCAGCTGCCCAGCCCCTAGTCTACCTGATGTCTATCCAGGCACTTCTCTTGTCATGGCCCTAAGAAGGGGAACGGCAACACCCTCTGGCTCCTGTTCCTATTCCTGTTTTGCAGATTCCTTGGTAGCATCCAGCTCATGCCCTGCAGTTCCTGCAGTGCTCTCCTGCTGTTGCAGTGCTGGCCCTGCTGTCCACACAAGTCCAACCTTGCCAGTGAGTGGGCCTAAGAAGATCCGTGTCCCAGGGTTGGCGCCTGCTTCCCAGGGTCCAGAAGAAACCCCCTCCCCCAGCCAGACTGTGTTCTCACTTGTCAAGTCCCAATGCCTTGTCCCTCTGTTTTACCCTCGTTTGTATTCCCTGTGGTCCTCTCCTGTGTTTTGGTCTTTGTCCTTGTCTGTCATGTAATGATGTGCCTTGTTCTGCCCGTCCCTGTGTCCATCTGTCTCTTCTACTCTTGGTCCCTGCTGATGGCTGGTATTCATCCCTGGTTCCTGGTATTGTCACATGTCTATCCTGTTGGGCCCTGGTCTGGTCNGAACAGTACAGCAATCCCAGCAGCCTCTACAGCAATCCCAGCAGCCTCAGCTGCTCACTTGAAAAAGTGGCAAGTACAAAAATGTTTCCTAACTTGCTGCATCTGTAAAGCAGAGAGGAAAAAAAGGCGAAAGATCAACAGCATCTGAAAGAAATGCAAAAATGGATAAATACATAAACAAACAAAAATAAAGAAAATAACACAGATATACAAACATACTAAATTGTTGTGTGTGCTTGGAGGGGTGAGTGTAAGCGTATGAGCATGCATGTTCATCTGTGTAGGTGAGGTGTGTGGGCATGTGTGCGTGTATTGTATGCATGTGTTCTCAACACAGAACATACTTAATAGCGAAGGTGGGAGGCCACAACCACGCCCCACAAGAGTCAGAGGCCGGCAGAGACAGGCCCAGGAGACCCGGGAAGTCCGCAGCCCCACAAGAGCATGGAAGAGTCGGGGCCCCATGTCCCAATGACAGCCGCGCCCCCACCCCAGCTGGAGGAGAAGGGAGGTCCCAGTAGCAGCTCCCGCCGCCAAAAGGGGAATGAGCCCCAGAGAACCAGATGCAACAGGCAGCCAACCCCGCAATGGGACGGCTGCTCCCGCACGAGCCAAGGCCAGGGCCCCTAGGGCCCCTAGGACCCCAGGCGGCCGGGGGCCAACCAACTCCCGGCAGAGAGCCCCGCCCATGGCGGAGAGGCCCGAGCCCCCCCCCCCGGGTCACCACCCCAAGGAGAGGGGTCAGCAACCATGCCAAGGAGGCAGCCATGCCTAGGACAGAGCTGCCAGCCCCAGAACCAGGCCCACACCGGCCATACAGACACCCCACAGACACACCTCTCAGCCATGCCCATAGACGATACACACATTCCCACAACATACACAGACACCCACACACAGTGACAAAAAGACATAAGCCCATCCACTCCGATCCCAGGGCACCGCCAACCGAGCGACCACCCAACCCCCCACCATCTTGGAGCAGGGAGCAGGGCTGTAGGAAGACCCGCCCACTTTCCTCCCCCATGCACCTGTGTGAGAGGTGGAGTGTTAGATGCATGTGGTGATGTATGTGAGTGTATGTGGTATAGGGGGTGAGTATGACTGTTGAGAATCTAAGATAGATTTTAAATTGTCAGGGGAAGTGTGAAGGAGCGCTGCTTGTGAACAGCTCTCCTCCACATCACACCCCCACCCCCCCACCAATACCCTCAATGTATATGGTGTGAGTAAAATTGAGGGGCGGCAGCAGTGCAGAGGTGAGTGAGACCACCTCAGCAGCCCCACCCACCAACCTCTGAGTAGTGCCCCCACCCCCCAAGGCCCTGTGCGTATACTGGTATGTGATGACTAAAGTGCAATTAAAACAAGGGGAGGCAGAATGGACCCAACCTGGGTGTCTGTTGTCTTATGTAGTCTGGGAGTTGACTGAATGGTGGGGTGGGTGTAGTTTTTCCCTCTGTGGTGGGGTCTGG